TCAAATGGGGAGATATCGATGATCGATTATTCAGGCCTCGCCTCTGGAGGAGAGAGGACGGAGGAGCGAGCTAGGGTGGCTATAAAAGTTCCAACTCTATAAATTGGGACGACAAAGGAATGTCAAAGTGTGAACGGCGCGGCCGCGGCGACGACGGTCGGCGCGCCGCGACGCCCGACTGTCGTCGCCGAGACGTAAAACGACGTATCTCAATTTGTACGTAAGCCCTGTTTTACATCTAAATCCATTATTTCTGGGGCTCAAGCGGAAATCGAGATACGCTTTTTCGCCGGAGGAGCGACGAAACTTGAAGCCAAGGCGTCACGCTCTGGCTATCTCCTCGCGGTTCCGATCAGTGGCGAGGCGTGAACGATCGATCATCGATATTTCCCAATTTGAAGCTATGGTGAAGAATCGATTATCAACATGTTCGTTGCGAACGCCTTGTCTATCGATCCTTTTCAATGGGTTTAAATGGCCGATTAATCGATGTATCGCAAAGCACGCCACGCCGCGGGTTCCGATGACTCGATCGAACTGTTAAGAACTTTGATCAGGAAGTTTCAGCGTTGAAATGGATTTTTTGTCGGGAGAGTTTGCAACATGAAACTCAAGTTCCATCTTTATAGCTCGGTCTCGAATCAACGGCAATGCACGGCACTCTCCTGCAACTCGGCTTTTCAAAACAATGCCATTATTTCTGTAATATTGCTTTCTATCGATGGCCGAAGTGTGAAATCACATGTTTTTATTGCAGCGTTTCATAATTTCCGCTCTTACTTTATTTTTTCGAAGAGTAACAAGCCAAGTTTATAATCTGAAATTCTTACAGAATATTCTGCTGACCCAGAAAAATTTTTAAAGAAATTATGATTACGAGTTTTTAAAGAAAAAAAAATAATTACAAAGGTTTTGCATCGTCGCATACGAAAGTACGTGTCTCGCATTTTGCCTATCGCTCTCTGTCTTACATTCTATAGATCAGGTTTTCATGGAAGGAAAGCCATCGACATGCTGCATGGGATTCTTTGGGACCAAAGAATCTTCAGGGACAACAAAGAGAGGATTTATAACTCTCTTGTCAAACCTATACTATAATGGCCTATATGGCAGTGAAAAGTGGCAGTTGAAGAAGCGGACCCAGGAAATGCTCTAAGCGATAGAGATGAATTTCCGACGAAGATCGGCTGGAATCTTGAGGAGAGAACCTATCAGGAATGAACGTGTCCGGAGATCCCTGGTAAACATGGCAGTAGAATCTGTGTTCCAAAACACCATAGACCTACAGCCGGCTGTAAGATTTCCAATAGCTTCTATAGTTATAAAGTGTATACTAAATGTTACTAATTACGGATGCTAGGACTTAATGAGTTTTTGGACTACCGCTCTCTTTTTGGGCCGTAGTATCTTGATTTATTTTGCGAGGAAAGCTCCGTACTTTTGATGGATGCCTGCCATTCCTAATATGTTAGCGCGCCTTCAATTTCGTATGATACTGTGCAATACCTCTGGTGTGAAATAGTTGCTTCAAGCGCCGTGGCACGCTGCGGCGCGGCGGGCGGGCGGCCAGCGCGAAACGCGCATTGGCGCCTACAAACCTAACAGGAATACTTCAAGCGTTGCGCAATGCGTGAAGTATCCCTGTTAGGTTTGTAGGCGCCGATGCGTCGCCGCTCCGCTTTGTGTTAGGCTCTAATATTTAATCTGGCGAAGTCAGCGTTTTTTAACTCATGATTTTGAAATGCTTGCACTCTCTGTGTGGATTATTCCCATTTTAATTGATTAAAAAAAATATGTATTAAAGGAAAATATAATGTGTGGTTTGTAAATATTAAGGTGGTTCCGTATCAAACTTAATGATTTTCAAAGCACACGAATTTCTACACAATTTCTTATAGCCTTTCATAGCAGATGACGATAAGGTGTATAATCCGGCGATAGGAACTATAGCCCGCCTTCAGAATTTTGTATCGCTTCGTATAGCCCGGCCGTATGATTTTCTCCGCTTTCTACAGCCAGCTGTATGATTTTCTGTAGCCTTCTTTGGCCAGCTAAAAGAATACCTATGGTATTTTGAAACGCAGCTCCTATCGCCAATTTTTACCAGGGATAATGGGCGTTGAGGGGACAATTATGCACGATATCATTACCAAGCAACTGGTATGGTATGGGCATGTGCAGAGGATGGCTGATACCAGCTAGGTTGCCGAAGAAGGTGTTGGGGTGGGTTCCTTCAGGTGGGCGAGGGAGAGGGTGTCCAGCCAAACAGTGGGTAGAGGGCATCCGTCAAGAGATGGAGAGCTTCCGGAAGATCTCTACCATGACAGATTCCTGTGGCGGGTAGGCGTCGCAGAGCGCCCTAGCGCGCCGTAAAAGCGACCTAGATGCACGCTCAATAATCTTCCGTTTTGCTAAAAAAAAATGAAATATAATCACCTTCAAAAGGTACCAGTGGCGTTTTAATGAAGTGCCGTGTTGTTTATTTTGAGGGGGCTGCAAAGAATGCCACGTTGGGAATCCTAAATATTTAACCACTTCCCGCTTTCCTTGAGTTTTGAAGTAATTGAACAAGCTTCTAAGTCAGGCTCTCAGCCACTCCGCTACCGGTGGGGCACGAAAGTGGGGGAAATGTTGGAGAGAAAAGGTTGAAAGTTGACCGAGCTTAGCAACATGCAAATTCTATCTTGTCACCTCCCTCTTTCATTTCACTTCCCAGCTTTAGTGAGTACGATTCTCACTGAATATTTTTGCGGAATTTATCTGATCGGTGTAAGCTGATGGTATTTTACTCCTATAATTTGCACTCTGAAATTGCCATTCTCACGAAAAGTCCACACTTATGTTTTATTCAATGTTATATGCTTAAGAACCTTAGACGGAAAATCTAACGTATTTATATTAAGGAGAATTATGTAGAAATTTATTAAATCAAAAGGAGGGATTTTTGCGTTTCATAGCTTTTGTTCATTAAAATTAATTTTATATAGTTTCCTTATATGGTTCTCATTTAGTTTCTAGCTTAAATACGTCCAACTCAGCTTTCTCGATTGACCAGTCATCGAAACTAGAATTTTTCAGCCAAGTGCAAAATGCGTAAGGTCATGAAATTATTTTATCAATTGAATTTTATATGAGTACTCTTACAAGTTTTACCCGTAAAATATGTCTGAAATTTAAGAATTCAAATCTGTACCATTCTCAATACTGTGACTTTCCTCTGTAAATCCATCCTAACCCGCGTTATAAATTATACAAATTCCTCTCTGGTGCTGAGCGTGGAAGAGGTTTAGTCAGAACGTCTGGACTTGCATTATAAATCGTCAGTTTAGTGATTTTCTGCATTTCTTTGAGCCTCTCTTCCCACATTATGAATGCACGAGAACTTTTTCCTCCGACGTAGAAGCAGAAAGAAAACCGAAGAAAAAAAGGAATGGATTCCATTTATAATATACGAGATAAAAGACTTGAGACACAGATGTCAAAGAAGGAAGAAGAATTCAAAGTAACATGTCTTAAAGATTTTGTGGCACAAATAGCAATAACAACTTGTTACTTTCTTGAACGGCGAATTAAATCTTACATTATTCCCTCGTCTTTATTACTTGAACTATTGATACCCCTCAAATTTTGATAACTATTCATAACTATAACTTTGTAACTGTTTATTATTTTGATAATTTTTTAAGTCCATAATATCGTCTCGTTTGAAAAGATGCTACATGATACCTGCTTTTCATTCAATTTTTAAATTTTTATATATATTTTGATCCACTTTAAAAAGGCTGTGGTGTTTCTAGCCGAAAAGTCTTGGGAAATCTATTATTTTCTAGTCTTGTTGCCTTTAAAACATTTGATAAGAGTTCAGTTCTTTGATAAAGATTGGAGAAGATAATTATTGAGTGTCAAATTAGGAGGCCTCCTCTGAAAAGAGATGGCGGAGGAGTCTAAAACTAAGTGATCCTCGTGGTATTGGTCACTGAAACGGTACTTTAAGATGGGGGAAGGTTCAGGAACAGCATGACAAAAATAATATGCTAGGTTCGAGTTCGTATAAAAAATGAGTCAAAACGGGTATAAATGGGAATACCTAGAAGAAAAATAAAATGCTTTGAATAATATTCTTAAGCACCCCCCCCCATATCTTCACCAATAGCTCGAGAAGACGACAATTTAATTCATATTAATTTAATCACGTGGTGCTTCAAGTCAGCTCAAAATAACAGGTGTATAAAATATCTTTCTCTGAGGGGCTTTGGGAAATCTGACATTCAACGAAGTGTGCTCAACCGACCTGATTAAGTTCTGGATGCCCGAAAGGCAGAAAAACCTCAATGGATGAGGAGGATGATGGGTTAGGTTAACATTATTAACAAAAAAATGCCTGCGGGACTATACATTCAGAATATTATTTTACGTCCTTCCGAGGAGCTGCCTTGATAGGAGCGTTCTTCCAAATTGTGGATCAGAGAGATTGAGGGACCGAATGATTAGAATTTTACATTTTCTCAGCATTTACAAGGCGCAAAAGTTTCCCTCACTTTTTAAAAATCTTTAGAATCTTATAGGGTAGGAATGTACATTTGAGAATTGACTCGTTGCGCAGGGCATTTCATGAGTAAAGATATAATTAAGACTTAACTCTTTACATAATTGTGTGTTTATTGGTGAAACGTAAAAAAAATAATCTCCTGTAAAGTCAAACGGATTCGTATCTGAGAAGACTTAAAATTCAAGGAGAGCTTCTGTCTGTGCTTCTTTTCTGACAGGTAAAAAACCCAACCGTTTTAAATATTTTTGCAACGCCTTTATCTTACGAAAAATTAATTTAACTTAAATTGACTTAAATCAGCTTAGATTTAATGGAAAGTTCACCAGTCTCGCACTACAAATAATTTTCTGAAATTTCATTTTTTTCACCTCTGTTCATGGATCTGTACCCATGCGAATAAAAATACGATCCGTAATATTATATAAATTTGTTATTATCTGCTTTATTTCAGGGCGCCTTTCCACTTCGCTTCAAAGAATTTCATGTTATTAACGAACCCTTCTACTTTGGCGCTTTCTACTCTCTCCTGAAACCTTTCCTGAAAGAAAAAATTCGAAAACGGGTGCGTATGAAACGTTCTTCAATTCCATGCTTCGTCAAAATTAACCTCTTAACCATTAATTGAACCAACAAACCCTTAAAGAATTGAAGAAGAAGAAGAAGAAGAAGAAGAAGAAGAAGAATGTATTTATCAGAAAAATCGATTCAACATTTGATCGTAGCGTCTTCATATTTCGGTGACGATGAACTTAATATTCTGAAAAGGAAGGCAGCGTTTGATGTACAAAAACCTCTTAACAAGCAAAATCCTCCCATGAATCTGAACGACCTTTTTATATCAAAACATGCTCAACTTTTTGTATACAACAAGTTGAAGTTGTTCTTGCATACAAAACGTTGAGCACATTTCAGGGGAATCAAAAGGTCATTCAAAGGGATGAAAACCAGTGGCGAAGCGTCGGTTATCGATATTTCCCCATCTGCGGACTGATTATTGAAATTGATAGACAAAGCTATAGACAAAGAAGACATAGGGAGTATGGAGCGATCCTATTGGTTGAAATGGGTGGTTCCTATAGACAAAGGGAGAAAATGATAGACTAACTGTCGGGTCTCTCGTGGGTTGCCGTTAGTTAGTCTATCACCTACCTCCTTTGTCCATTGCAACCACCCGCTTCCACCAATAGAATCTCTCCATATCTCCTTTGTCTATAGCTTTGTCTATCAATTTCAATAATCGGCCCGCAGGAGCCATGGCAAAGAATCGATAATTAAGGTGCTCGTTACGAACACCCTGTTTATCGATCCTTTTCCATAGGTTTAAATGGCAGATCAATCTATGTATCGCAAAGCACGCCACTCCAATGATAAACATTACTTGCAATTGCAGAGAAAGAAAAGAGAGGACGAACGTCTGAAACCAACAGAGACTCATACTGCCGTGCTGAGGAAAAACGACGTGTGAACATCCGAGAGTTGCCAAATTTCTCCTGATAAAACATGTATTTTTGACAACATTCATGCATATTTTTCCTTGAAATTTTCAGATATTTTAGCCTGAATTGCGTACAAAATTATCTAAACATTTTGGAAATTAGTATTAGCAATTTTCCCAGTGAATTATCGGAAGAAACTTGGCAACGTCTAAAGGCTCTTACGCCATTCTTCCTTAGCACGGCAGTGCTGCCGTGCTAAGGAAAAACGACGTATGGACCTTCTGGCGTTGGGAAATTTCCTTCGATAAAAACCGAATTTACTGAGAAAATTGTTAATATTATTTTCCAAAAATTTCAGAAAATTTTGTACGCAATATAATCTAAAATATCTGAAAGTTTCAGAGAGAAATGTGCATGGTTTTCGTCAAAAATACATGTTTTATCACGGGAAATTTGGCAACTCTCAAATGTTCATACGGCGTTCTTCCTTAGCACGGCAGCAAACTCGTTCGACACCGCGTCGTAGCGCAGGTAGTTAAGGGGGATTTTTTCGAGGGATCGCCTCGCGGAGCTTCCCCTCGGGGAAAATACTCGCGCTAAACTGAAAAATACAGGCTCTAATAAGTAGGGGAGTAAACAAATCGGTGAATTCAATATGGGGCTGATTAAATCTCGCTCGGGAAAATCGATGAGGAGCGATAATCCAGGTGGATACCCCTAGCCCGACCCCAACCTCGACGGATTAAAACAACGGCGAGGCTTGAATGCGATTATCGATATCTCCCCATTCGAAACTATGTAAAGAATCGATCATCAGGGTTACACCCTGTTTATCGATTCTTTTCCATAGGTTTAAATGGCAGATCAATCGATATATTGCAAAGCACTGGATGAAAAGACTCCTCGAGTGCATGGCGAAGCTTGAACGATCGATTATCGATATTTCCCCATTCGAAACTATGGTAAAGAATCGAAAATTAAGGTTACAACCTGTTTATCGATCCTTTTCCATAGGTTTAAATGGCGCATCGATCGATAAATCACAAAGCTCTGGATTAAAAGCTCGTCGTGCAGCGTGCTTCCCGGTTCCCGGGAAACGGAAAGTCCTGGCAAGATCGTCGCTCCCCTGACCGAGGCGCTTCTCAATTTTCGCGTGAGGTTAATTTCGTAAATAAATCCATGCTTTCTGGGGCTCATGTGGGGACGGAGATACGCCCTTCGGAGCGGCGAAATGAGGCGGCGCCCGCTTCAGCGTTCGAGCTTCGGATTTTTTGACGCACTGAAAAAAAATTCTCGGCGTTTTTACGAAGGTCCGTTGGTACCTTTACCATCTCACTTTTTTTTAACCAATCATCGGTAATTTTACCAAGACAGACTGGCAAGCTTCCTAAAAACCGGTATTTTTACTGTTTTTTTCCAGGTAAGAACACCACTTTTATTGGTAATCAACTCCCGGTAACTTTGCCATTTTATCTCGGTAATTCTACCACAGTCGATAAAAATTATTGGCGTTTTTACCAAGGTCCAGTAAAATTACCGAGAAAGTTCAATCATTTTACCGGGATTTCTCGGTAAAATTACCAATTCCATAAATGGTAATTTTACCAAGAAAAAACTGGGATCAAATAGAACCCTGAATTCTTGGTAATTTCACCCTTTTCTTAGTAAATACACCGAGATTTTTCTTTCAGTGAAAACGAGTTCCTCTACCTCCGTGTGAGCCCTGAAAAGTGAGGAGTTATGTCAGGGAAAGAGGGCTCGCCCCGAAATCGTCGCTCCTCTGACGTAAGGGCGTATCTCGATTTCCGCATGAGCCTCAGAAAGCATGGCCCTATATGTAAAACAGGGCTCACGTAAGAAATGAGATACGCCCTTACGTCAGAGGGGCGACGAAATGAAGTCACGTTCCTAAGTCCGAGGCGCAACGTATTTTACCGTGCTTAGGATGAGCATTCGAGAGTTGCCTAATTTTCTGCGGTGAAACATGTATGTTTGAGGACATGTATTTTTCCTCGAAATTTGCCGATATTTTAGATTAAATTCCGAACAAAATCGTCTGAAAATTTTGAAGGAAAATATTCACTATTCTCCCAGTAAACTTGTTTTGCATTAAAGGAACACTGAAAAAAAATGAAGTTGATTTAACATTTTGGATGTTAGAAAAGTGTGCGAAAACTTACAAAATGCTAAATTAACTGCTACAGCAGCTACTTTAGCACTGTCAAGATGTAATGCTGACTGCCATAGTAGGTAATTTATCATTTTGCGAGTTCTCGCACACTTTTTTTACATCCAGAATGTTAAATCAACTTCACTTTTCTTTTCTCTCTGAAATTTGGCAACGTCTGAAGACTCATGCGGCGTTTTTGTTTAGCACGGCAGTGTGGGGATGACTCTGAAACGAAAGGTGGGTGGCAGTGGCGCGGCGTGAATTGCGATATATCGATTGTTATGCCATTTAAACCTATGGTAAAGAATCGATTATTAAGGTGTTCGCTGCGAACACCCTATTTATCGATCCTTTTCCATAGGTTTAAATGGCATAACAATCGATATATCGNAAATGCTAAATTAACTGCTACAGCAGCTACTTTAGCACTGTCAAGATGTAAAGCTGACTGCCATAGTAGGTAATTTATCATTTTGCGAGTTCTCGCACACTTTTTTTACATCCAGAATGTTAAATCAACTTCACTTTTCTCTGAAATTTGGCAACGTCTGAAGACTCTTGCGGCGTTTTTGTTTAGCACGGCAGTGTGGGGATGACTCTGAAACGAAAGGTGGGTGGCAGTGGCGCGGCGTGAATTGCGATATATCGATTGTTATGCCATTTAAACCTATGGAAAAGGATCGATAAATAGGGTGTTCGCAGCGAACACCTTAATAATCGATTCTTTACCATAGGTTTAAATGGCATAACAATCGATATATCGCAATTCACGCCACGCCACTGATGGGTGAGGAAATCGCGCCGGGGCGCTTAACTCTGAGTGAAATTTATCAGCTCCAGTTGAGACTGGAGTCAAAAGTGACAGACAGACATTTTCCCCCTGGTTGTCACAGTTATTCTCTTCCTCAACGCTCGTACGTACTTACCTCCGTGCTGAAAAAAACCAACGTAAGGAAATTTCAGCCTTGCCAAACTTCCTAAAACAAAATACGAACCATCCGGAATTCCACGGTCTGTTTTCCCTCGCATTTTTCAGAGGATTATATTCGGAATCAATTTTACAAATCAGAAAATTTGAAATGAGAATATTCATCAGTTTCCTCAAATATTAATCTTATAATGAGTGAAATTTGGCAACATTCGAATGTTCATACGGCGGTTTTCCTTAGGACGGCAGTATGCGTCTCGGAGCACTCGACTTTTCCTCCGTTCATCCGTTAGATACTTTGTATTCCCTTGATGACAAAGATGGATTTCAAACTGTAAGACGTCGCGGAGAAAATGGCTGAGTTAGTTCCGGATTCGAAGTCTGCTGTCGGATGACGCGCAGCATTACTGCCGTGCTAAGGAAGAACGCCGTATGAACATTCGAGAGTTGCCAAATTTCCTTCAATAAAATGTTCCTTTTTGAGAAAAGTTATGAATATATTTCCTTGACATTTTCAGGAACTTTAGGTGAAATTGCAAACAAAATTATCTGAAAAATCGGGAGGAAAATATTCATAAGATTACCAGGAAATTCGTGTTTTATCAAACGAAATTTGGCAACGCCTGAAGGCTCATACAGCGTTATCCTTAGCACGACAGATTACCGAATTTCCTCCTGCTAAACAACGGGGGCAAAAATTACTTTTCTCCGAATTCTAGTTTCAAAATAATGAGGTCAAACGGCAAGTTCCTGCGTCATTTCGGCCAGTTTAAGCCTAACTGATAGTGTAATCATGTTACAAGAATCAGCTTAACTTAAATTTGTAATCGTGTAAAAGCAAAATCAGCCTAACCTCTATACAAAATGATAACCAATATATCATCAGCCAAAACATGTAATGAACTATCAAATAAATCCGACGAAAGGCTGCAAAAGTACAACAGATAAAAAAAACCAATAGAAAAAAAAGCGGGACGTTTCGAAATAATAACTGTCTCATTAAAAAACGAAACTTGTGTTTTCGATTCACTATTCATGGTCTCTCTGAGGGGAAGAGAAGTGAAAAGCCTTCAATTTTCTGTATGCAACACGCACATCCACTGAGTTAGAATAGTTGCATCCAGGTGTTAGCTTATCATCACGCTCACATCCGTCGACAAATATCAATTCAGCACGACCAGTTCCTTGTTTTTTTGTTTGTTTACATCAATATTTCCTCTGTTAATATTAACAACTTTGAATCAGCGTTTTCTAAGTTCTGAGTTTTAATTGGGAAGATCTTTCGCAAATCAATGCCATGAAAAAAATTCTCAAAGTATTCTTTGAGAAGATCGAATTTGACCGGAAATCTCGATACATATCAAACCAAATTCATGTTTTTCTAGTTCAACTACCTACTATCAACTACTGGGTAAACTACTAGTTCAACTTCACTATCAACTACTGTAAGAAATCCGCTCCAAAGCATTTTTGTGTGGCTCAGGTACTCCGAGTCTCAATCCTATTGATATATTCTATGGATATATTCTAAACTTATGGAGTATTAATTTATTTTTATGGGATAATTTGGGTGAAATGAAATTTAAGAGGCTAACATACTTTTCGACGGTGGCAAGTCATTTTTCCTAAAACATTTTTTCCTACTGCAATTTTTCATAATACTTTTTTCCTACTCGTTTTTTGTCCCATCACAGTTAGTCCTACGAGTGAGATGTCCTACTGGCTTTTTTCCTAGGGGCCTTTGCCCTAAATGCAATTTTAAAACTAGGGGATCGAGAAATTAAAAAAAAACAACATAGGTTCCTCACAAGTTAAAAGTTGTGGTCGCATGCCCGTAAGTAGTGGAGCTTCATCCTCCTCCTTATATTGAAGATATAGAAGGCTCAGCTTGTGATGTCTCCTGTTCACGCGATTATATTCGGATCGCTGAGAAAACTTTACTCTTTTTGAAAAATTTCCATCTACTCTACTCATTTTTACGTTTCAATTATTATTGGATTATTAGGACAAACACCCTTAGGAAAAAAGCCAGTGGGACATCTCACTTGTAGGGCTTACTGTATAATGGGACAAAAAACAAGTAGGAGAGAAGTATTAGGAAGACCTGATGTAGGAAAAAAAAAATTAGGAAAAATGACCTAGCACCCTTTTCGACTGTTACCGATAAAAATCTGTTCAGTCCATTGCCCAAAAAAATCTGCCTTTAATCTAAACCCATTTAGATACCGATACACCCTTGCTTGTTACTTCAGTGTTGGTGCGTCAAGTTTTACACTCTCTTTTCTGTACTTCTCAACAGGTTTTCTTTCACGGTCATAATTTAAAATCGCTGCACAAGTATGTTGATCCGATGATTTTACCGAAGGAATACGGTGGTGTGAAAGAGGAATTGGACGACACAGCTTGGCGAGAGAAACTACTCGAACTGGACGACTGGTTTGCTGGTGAAGCTCTGATTTCTCATTTTTATGCTTTTCATATTGATAGCCAAATTGCAGAGCCACGTATCTCCATCGCAGTGTTTTTATAATTTCTGCTTCTAGTATATTTTCTTGAAGAGAGACAAACCAAAGTTATAGCTAGAAAATACAGAATATTCTGCCAACAGAGAGGAAAAATCAAGGAAGTTTTCAAGAAATGAGCCGCTTGGAGGACATGAAACATGGTTGCAGTTTTTGAAAAATTGAAATTTGAATGATTTCAAGGGTGGTCTCACGATAATTGGAATAGTTTTGTCGCCGTAACAGACAACACATTTTTCGGTCATATTTTTCGTAGAAATGATAATCACTCGAATTTTTTTTGCATTAATCTACACAGGGTTAGCGGTTACGTGTTATAACGCTTTTCAATGATTTGGACCGCATATGCAATAAGGAACCACTATTTTTGGCTCATTTAAGAAGCCATATATGCCTATATATGCCATATGCCATTGATTTCCTTCTTCAGAAAGGTGCGTTTATGGAAGAGTCAGAAATAGTGGTTCCTTATTGCAAAATGTAATCCATTTATCGCTCTACTTTTCAATTTTATGGCCGAAAATGTGCTGTCTGTCACGCTGACTTTTTACCGTGTAACAGACAGCACAGTTTCGGAATTTACATAATATTAATTGAGGACTAGAACAATAAATCATTAGAAAGCGTTATCATCAGGGCCGGATTTAGGGGGTGGCCACATGGGCGGCAAATTTAGGGGGTGGCAAATTTTGCAATTTTTTTAAATGTAGCTATAAAAAAAAATCGGATTCAGAAAAAAAAATTACGAACGAGAGAAGGTGACGAACTGTATCATTTCCTGAGAGTATATCTCTAATTTTGTCATCCCTCTGTGATACAGTAGACAGCACCTTTAATTAGTCGAGTTAAAACTAAGAGAGAAACCGAACACGGAATTTGGCCTGGAACGGCGCGGCGCAGAGAGCAATGGTGACGAGAACGTGAGATGAAAAGGAGAAACCCTCGACGCGGCGGTCGGCATGTAACACATATTAGCGCCTACAAGACTGCATGAATACTTCACGCATTGCGCCAAAGACAGTGCGGTCGCAGCGGTCAGCAGCGGGCAGCGTGAAACGCATAGCGCCTACAAGAGTGCATGAATACTTCACGCATTGCGTCAAACACAGTACGTGCAGCAGCGATCGGCCCGAAACGCATAGCGCATGTAACACTGTAGGAATACTTCACGCATTGCTGCGCAAAACACAGTGCGGTCAGCGCGGCGCGGCGGCGGAAGTTAAAATTATTCAACCACATTTATGTTTGTTCTTTCATAATTGTTTGGTTCATCTCTTATAAATGGAGGGTCTTGTCCATACAGAGATAGGTTTACGGAACTTAACTTTCGCGCCAAGTTCCGTGAACTTTTGCTAGTAGTGTTGACAGGGCTTTCGCAAAAAACGTGACCAACACGAGTAAGCGCGTCTTATACGCCTCTTTCCCTCCGGGACATTCACTTGATGATTTTTATTGATGTTTCAAAACGAATGAGAAGGAGGCGGCAAAATACAGGTGGCCCATGGGCGGCAAGTAAGTAAATCCGGCCCTGGTTATAATACGTAACCCGGGGTAGATTAATGCATGAAAATTCGAGTGATTATCATTTCTACTAAAAATATGACCAAAAAATGTGTTGTCTATCACGGCGACAAAATATTCCAGTTATCGTGAAACCACCGTCAAGTAACGCTAGTCTTAATGCATATTTTGGGGAAAGGACGTTCCGAAATTCCAATTTTTAAGCATCAAAAAGTCGGTATTCGAACTTACTTTCCGCCATAAGGATCCGTGTAATTTTGAAACTTCAAACACGTATTCCTCGGAATAGCAAAAACTGCACGTATGCGTCTTATCCTCCAAGCCCTTCAAATTACGTTAGCTAGTTTTTCTTTGAAAAAATAAAATACGACAGGAAAAAAAAACAAAGTCACAAACGGAGGTACGTGCTTTCACACTTTGGCCATCTATATATTTATTATTTTTGCCAGTTCCATTCGCATTTTCTTACAGGAGGCCGTCCCCAAATTAGTTGACGCTTTTTTCGATATTTTTACCCCCCCCCCTTTTTTCCGCTACTTTTATCGCTTTTGTGACCTAGGTCCTCTTCTTTAACACGTAAGAGCATACTGACGTAACGCTCACCTGAATTTCCCCCTAGAGCGTTACGTAATGGATCGTATTCGACAGTGGTTCGATGTATCGTTTGGCTCAAAACAATAGAAAATAACCTCAAACCAAAATTGTGGGACAGTTGTCGGTAAAATTGAAAATGAGAAGTTTCGTAGCCATTTCACTACTCTTGGCCAATAAGCACTCATACGAATCAAAAATCTATCACAAAAAACCCGTTCCGTCAGATTACTCAATTGACTTTTGTGACTATGTTTATGTTTTGAACCAATCGCTATCGATACAATCTCACCCGTTTGATGTATCGAATACGATCTATTTGGAGACGGCCCCGGCTGCCCCCAAGCTTGATATCATTTTGGCACTATTATGGAAATGGTGTGCAGTTTTACTTCATCGTCAACTTACTAACGACAGTTCTGACTATTCGTTGTGATGGTCATTAGAAACGTATGATTTAAACGGAATCGCACTAACGTTGAGGTGTTTCTCTGTTGCAGAACTGAAAACTTACGGGTTTGACAAGTCTTAATTATCAATGTGCTGACGCCTATCCTCGAAGCTTTTCATATCGATTTTCACTTGCCCATTCATTTTGTTTTCACGCCACGTGCCATGGCAGGCGGCCAAATCACCACAAATATCTGCGGTGGAAAGTCGTAAGCGGATACGAAACTTTCCAGGAACAAGAGGAAACCACTATGCATGGTGTCTTTAGGCAAGATGAATGGTGAAGCTACCTTTGCGAAAATGTTTTTAGGTTAACCTCCTATGCAATGCCCTAATGCTGATTTTACCCTGTTACGGGGGTGTGTATGTGTTGTCTTAGTTCGGAAAAGAATTAGTCATTAAATCAAAGACTAACACTATGTTTTGTTTTATTTCCCGTGATACCAGTAAATTTTGAAGGATCGTTATCCAGAATTCACTTCTTTAATCATCATAATTTGTGTTCCAATATTCTGAATGCTCCTTAGGCATAGGTACGTTTGAAACATGCAACTTGACCGCAAGATATGGCAATGGTAGTACTCAGTGCATCTTGCTGTCAAATTGTTTTTTAAATAGCATATGTTTTAAACGGAGAGGTGCATGCCTAAGGAGCATTCAGAATATTGGCACATTAATTTTGATCGATTCGATTCCATCCTCATTTTGAGAGCTATGCAATTTTGCGGGATAAAATTCCAGATTTGAAAGACATGAAAATACATTTTTATAATTCAATGTGCGAAATTCGAACGATTCAATTACAATCTCTCGGAACTCTAAGATTGATTTCGCACTTTGAAACTACTTCCAACCGTCTGAAAAATTGCGATCGGTTCGTCCACCGCATTTTGTTTCGTTTATGTTCGTCCACTCTCTACATTTCAATGTAATTTCGACAGCAAAAGCGTTTTCAATCGACATAAATCATTATTTGCTCTTGTAACTCGTTCGGGAAAAAGTTTCGATTCCTGTGTCTCATGAGATGTTTTCCGCCATAATAGTAGTCGTTTTATTATTCCAAAAGCTTTTACTTTGATTGCAGTCCAGGAATAGTGTTATGTCCTCCAACAACGATTTATTCAATAACAATCAACTATTGAGGAAACAATGGAGCTTATCTAAATTTCAGTCTGTATATAGGTAGTTAACAATTTTAAACTCATGAAATGCATTTAAGAAGTGAGATCATATTTAAAGATAAAAAGGGAGAATAAATCGATCATTCCTTGGTTGAGACAGTACCGTAATAATATAAATATGATCAAGGTAACATTGTCTTTTTAAAACTTCCGACTTATCAGACGTTTCAAAAGAGGAATGAAATGGACTACATTTTGCAATTCCGAACTACAATTTCTGGCTCATCTGTAAAAACACATGCTTCTATGGGGATCTAATGGTCCATACGTTGTTTTTAAACTGAACCAGAGATTGTAGATCTAAATTGCTAGATAAGGTCTAAATAACGTGACGAGTTGTGTAGGAACGGCTCCAAAAGTGCTTTAGAGAAATTTTTTTGAGTACAACCAAGGAATTAGTTTTATCTAGTTGAAAATGGACTACATTTTGCAATTAGGAGCTATAAATTCCGGCCCGGTTTAAAAACAACATATGTGCCATTAGCTTCCCTATGCACATACGTATTTTCTCGGATGAGACAGAATTTATAGCTCCAAATTGCAAAATGCAGTCCTAATAATAGTCTCAACCGATGACATCTCCTAAGTAGACAGTAAGGATCACGTACGAAGTTGGCCAGATTGACTCAGTGGTCAGACTTTAGGTTATCATGCCCCGGGTTCATCATCCCGGTTCGACGAAAGGGTCTGCTGAAATTGGACGTATTTATGCTAAAAGGAACTATGTTCCACACAATCCCTACGCACATAGTTTCTTTTAGCATAAATATGTTCAATTGATGCTTCTCGGCCCTAATTTCTGAAAACTAGAGAAGCCACAAGCATGGATGTGTAGCAATCCCTCAAGTATCCCTCATTTCCTCCCATGGCTGTATGTTCCTATCGGAATATATAAGCCAAATAAAAACATCGGAATGGGGTATGAAAATAATTCACGGGAAAAAAGTCTAAGGGGTTATCCCCTAGAATAATAATTCTAGTACTTCCCCGATTTTTTGGATGATGTGGACATTTCAAATTAGTTTTGGTATTGTGCCGAAAGTATAAAGTTGGGGTGGTAACGCAACATTTGGGTTAGTAACCTACTTTAATGGGGTACCACCACGATTAAGAGGAAATATCCAAGTTGGGACTTGACCCCAACCTTTTTTTTCCTGTAGATTTAATAGGTTTCATGGGGATTATATTCCTTGGATATTGTACGCAAAGACGGAGAAAAGTTGTTTCAGGACACATGCAGTGATCCAAAAGTGATGCAGTCAAGCCATGCACCAGAACTTTATTTTATTTTATTTTTTACCTACATAGCAGTGGACATACCTTCGGTCTGAGATACCCCAAGTCCTGAAATTCATACGTATTAACAGTGGCGTGGCGTGAATTGCGATGTATCGATTATTCTGCCATATAAACCAATGGTGAAAAATCGATTATAAAGGTGCTCGCCAACGAACACCCTGTTTATCGATCCTTTTCCATAGGTTTAAATAGCATAACAATCGATATATCGCAAAGCACGCCACGGTACTGCGTATTGATACAACGCGGTTGCGTTTAAAAATGTCTCGGTAAGATTCTTTGAATATTCGCTTTGATATGAACCAGCGAAGGTGTACCAAGATCAAGAAACGACACTTCATCGTAGCAAAGTACGCGCAAAATCGAGCGGGAATGGATAGCGGTCGTAAAACATCAAAGAGGCGACCGACCGTTTCTCACCTGCGCGCAATCAATTTACCGACGCTGAAAATCAGACTCAAAGTTTTACGCTAGATAATAATTAGTGACGCTAATACGTGTCCTACTTGTCATTCGAGATATGTTTGATGATCATCTTACCCGTGCGAATAATTCGTAATGCGGTCGTGCCGCGCTGTCAAAGACGGAGTCCGAATATGATTTCCAGCGCGGCGAGGGTGGCTCGCGGCTCAATGCGGCGCCACCGGCCGCAAGTCACGTTAATTAGTCAGTTCATAAGCTCCTTTTGCACGATGCCAAGAGTGAACCTTGTTCATAACTCCGGGGTCATCCATCTTGATTATTATATTCGTCTCTTCCCATCATAGTTGCGAAGCAACGTGCACCATGCTACTGCCTTCGCGAAACAGGAGTATAGCGCAACGCAACACCACAACGCTGCTGCACTAGGATAAAACGCCGTATGTACATTCGAGCGTTGGCAAATCTCCTCCAGTTAAATTTATTTTGTGGGAAAGTTATGAATTTTCCTTGAAATTTTCAGATAATATAGATCTGATGAGATGTGTTGGATGCTCCACAGCCCATGACAAGATTCGACGGTGTAAGTCGACAATGACATAACTCGGTTTGCGATGTCGAAGACTTCCTGTCATGCTTTATTTTTTAAACGGAAAACTACTCAACGGCAGTTCTTTAAAACTGCCGTGATTTATCTTCTCTGTGCGAAGAAAATTCTGCATAAACTTCAAGGAATGATGTCAATTTGTTCTCCCTTAAAACAATCACATTGAAGCGGAGATTTTCAGACATCGCAAACGAGTTATGTGATTGCCGACTTACACCGTCGATGTATAAAATAGTAGCAATTCAAACAGCGGGTAACAACTGGCGCACTGCCATGCTAGCGCGACATGCGCATTAGCGCCTACAAACCTAACAGGGATACTTCACGCATTGCACAATGCGAGAAGTATCCTTGTTAGGTTTGTAGGCTCTAATGCGCTGGTCGCCCTCGCCCGCCGCCGCGCCACGGCGCTTCAAGCAAGTATTTTGCAACAGAGGTGTTGCACAGTATCATACGAAATTGAAGGCGCTCCAACGTATCCAGAATGACAGGCATCCTTTAAGAGTACGGAGCGATCCTCGCAAAATAAATCAAAATACTACGGCACAAGAAGAGAGCGGTAGTCCAAAAACTCACCAAGTTCTAGCATCCGTATTAAATAACGTTTAGCATAACTTTTGAATTCCATCGGAGAAAAAGTGATTCGATTTAAGCAGGAACATTCTTGAGTATAAGCTGTCAAGAAGATTTTATTTTTAATCAAGAATAAAATGACTGAGTGAAAGCGGGTTTCTGCTTGATGTATGTGACTTTCCTTGTTATTTGAGCATATTTTCTTCTGTGCTTAAGCATTATTTTCTTTGTTGATTCATAAGGAAATCTTCTCGGCGGTATATTTGAGCATATTCTGCTTGAATCAAGTCATTTTTACCTCTACTGGAGTTCAAAAATTATGCTAAATGTTATAAAATACATATCAAAGGTGTAAGTCGGCAATCACATAACTCGGCTTGCGACGTCGTAGACTTCCCGTCATAATTTATTTTTAAAACGGAAAATACTCAACGGCAGTTCTTTAAAACTGCCGTGATTTTTTTCCTTTGTGCGAAGAAAATTCTGCATAAACTTCAAGGAATGATGTCAATTTGTTCTCCCTTAAAACAATTACATTGAGGCGGAGATTTTCAGACATCGCAAACGAGTTATGTGATTGCCGACTTACACCGTCGATGTATAAAAATAGTAGCAATTCAAACAGCGGGTAAGAAGCTTTTTTTTACACGGATGACATCGAAACGTTTCGGCCGTAAACACTTTCTTCCTCGGCTGGATAAAAAGCAATGAAAATCTGAAAATCTAAAATCTTAGTACTCGGCTGTACCTTTCAAAACGAGAAAAATGTGGTTATCTCATCATGCTCAACAACGATAGGCAACAACATTCTTTTCGTATTGGAGGGAAAAATTGTTGGAATGGGAAATTGATGGAAAGAGAAATTGTTTGACTTTTTTCGAATCATCAGCGCTCACTTTAGCAAACATGATATATAGGCCGGAAAATCCTTTTTAGAGAGTAAAAAATCGTCTTCTGTAAACTTAATGAATTCCTGATGATTTCTAATGTTTATATTAAGAAATCAAAGCGGATCACCTTGCAATACGAATTACTGTTCACTTTTTCCGATCGAAATTCTCAACCCCTCATGTTATACACCCCCTCTCTTTCAGGGGCATGAGTGCATTAAAAAAAATAAGTGTGTACTTATCAGGTATCGATTTTATGCACCTCCAGCTTGTTTGTGCATGCCTCGACGTTAACACGCCGTATACCCGAGGGAACCATATTTATTTTATGCATATTACACGTTATATGATGGGTATGCGGCCGTTCGTGATTCTAGATATGACTGAATTATATGCACGAAGGGTAAGTATCCTCCCATCACTGAGCTTTTGTAATATTTAAATATTTT